GCAGCAGCAACAACAGCGGCACGTAAACGATACTGACGGGCCCAGTGGATAGCCTGTCCCTGTCCATCTGGCCAGGCTAAACTTAATTTCTACATTTGCTGGCAGATAAAGACGTGGCTCGAAGAGACGGCAGCGCTGTGTGGGTAAACGGGTAGCCGCCCCGCACAGTGGGCCACAGCAGGCATCTAGCACGCATCTATTCCATTAGACGCTTTTAGTGATTGTTAAGTTCCAATTAACAAGTTTTTCTGCCAGGTCGGATGCCGATGCCGATTGCCGACGGGATGGCATCGATGGATGGATGGATGGATGGATGGATGGAGATGGATGGGATGGAATGGAAGCTGCCTTTAAAGGCAAATCCACTGTTACCGCTGATGACGGTGCCGGTGCCGGATCGGCTTCACTGCCTCGGAGCCGCCCTGAGCACAAGATGTTGGCCATGTCTTCAAACGTTAATTGAACCCGCACACACTCTGGACTGGTCCAACATAGGCATAGCCCATCCGAGAGCCACATAAGCTGTGTAGCTTGTTTGTTTTGGCTTTGTCACTGCCCCCCGCACTGCCGGACGCAACTGTTGCACGCCAATGCCCCATAACCATTTTACCACTTGCTGTGTGAGTCACGTTGCCGTGTAGCGCACGCGAGACACCAGGCCAGGCTGTCTTGCCAGCGATTTTCCTGCATTGTAATTCTTTATGATGTCCAATAACAATTAGTTTTAATTCTCCTGCTTTGCTTATGTCCTTGGCCTCAGCCCCGGCTCAACTGCCACTGACAATGATGATCTCTATCCCCATCATCATCATCCGATCATCGTGGCCACATCACGAGCATAATGAAAATTAATTGGAAAACTGATTGAAATTGTGCACTGAGCAGTTCAATCAGCGAGAGCCTTTTGCTATTGTTTAGATTCATGTGATGTGGGGAAAATCTGGCGTCTGGCGGCTTAGGCTTTTGAGGGAAAAGGCGATTTTCATTTTTTCATTTTTATGTATGCCGACAAAAATAGTTCAAAATTGCAATTAATTTGAAAATGTTAAATACAATAAACACTGCCCGGCGATGAGCGAAGAACGAAGAGCGCCGGTAATGATACCCAAATCCATATATGTATGTTCGATTGTCTGTTATGAAATGAAGTTGTTGGGCGATTTTGACAGAAAATGAATTGGCAGGGGTGGCAGGGGGCGGCAAGCATCTCCGTAGGAAACGCCAATCAATGTGGAATTGCCACATTTGATGAGGGTATGTCGGGCATTGTGAGCGATTGTCTGTGCATTTGTATTACAAGTTTTAATGGATTTAAAATGAAGAGTGAACTAAGCTGATTGATGAGTACAATTATTTTATATATATTACGTAGAAAATTATTTTCTGTAGGTTGTGTCATCAATTTGTAAGGCATTATTGCTATTTATAGAGAATTTTCTCCTAACGAAATATCTTGAACCATAATACCATAAGATGCTCGTATGAGACCATAAGTGTCGGCTAAAAAGAACTGAAGAGAAATAGTTTTTGGAACTGTTTGGCAATTGAAGAAATGCTGAAATTGTAATATTTACTCTTAGGTTTTAAAATACATACAAGGCACCAAATATTTACTCCGATAGTGGAAATTATACATTTTGATATTAATATACAAATATTTGATATATTTTCTTATTTACAATAAATATATTTTTAATAAACTCACGCCTAAATCAAAGTGTCTGCTATTTAATTTCACTAATAAATCGAAGATTTAACTTAAGTATGGATGTGTTTCTTTCTACTGTGCCATTACAAATTTTACATTACATATTTTATTTGTTATAGTTAATCTGCTTCAAGTTCGGGTAGCAAATGCCACACCATAGTATCTTGCATACTTTACTTTTTACAAGTGAAAATGAGTGTTGTCACACTGCTGTACAAATGAATGGCTGAGAGATACTGCGAGAGATAGTCGTATAAGTGTACGCGGCCTTAGAATCAGATACTTCCTGAATGGTCAACTAAAGAGGTATGATTTATTTTCTTCCAGCGTCATTCATCCAGCTAAAGGCTGCACAGATGCATTATACTCTTTGTACCAGTATATTATCTCTGATAATATTTACTTATTCTCCGTTGGGAGCCAAACAATGAGATATATTTACATTTAAATGCATTTGCCTCACCCATACGAGGGGATACAGGTACAGATACAACAAGATGGATCAAAAGATTCGCGTGCATCTTTCTGGCTGAAAGAGATAGCGCTGGGCCAGAATTTATTGTTTAAACTAAAAGCAAATTCACTTCGGCCCACTATATACGATTCTGTCTGCAGGTTACGTGCGCGTATCTATGACATCCATGTACCTATGGTGCAGTTTGGCGCCACAAAAGCGTATAATGGCTACACCAAATGGCGAATTCGGCTGACGGCTGTCGTCTGTCGGCTGATGGCAAATTGTTTGCTTTGGCCAAGCGCTGGCTCAACCTGTTACAGGGAGTGACAAATGGCGGCAGATATATCATGATCATCGCATAATGATGATAGTGTCGCTTCGTGCTGTGCCATGAAATCATCGATTGTACGCGCGTAACAATTAAAGACACTTCCACCGATCCCCAAGATTTATGACCTTGCAACGTGCGTCAGCATCTACTTCGGGGAGTGGGCGTGGCCGAGTTGGAAATCACAAATGAAATGAAATAAAAGGAATTTGGCCATTGATTTATGCAGCTGCTGCTCCATGAGATCTACACATTGAATAGATTGGCTGGCCCTCACTAAATCCTTTGAGCATTTCTAGCCCCAAATACAGATTTGCATAATGGCCGAGGCGTCGGCATCGAGAAAAAGTCTTCAATTTGGAACTATGAAGGATGAAGGATGATGGCGTTCCATTCATTCTTTTCTCACCCGAGGAGAGGTCCTGGCCGACACCGAAGTCAAACAAAAGAATCATAATTTCCGGTTCCCTACACTTCACCCACCGCCACTTCCCTTGCTCCCCTGGGCTTCATGTGTGGGGAAATATTTGTCCCATTGTGCGGCAACTTACCGAAAAGGGGGGCTCGTCTCTTGCTGCTGGGTGGAAACTCTTCTAAGCAACTTGCCGCATATCCTGAGGCGATGCAGTGGCTCGGGTGCCGGTCCTGGTGCTGCTCCTAGGTCTTGGTCCTTTTCCCGGCACTAGTCCTTGTCCTGACTGCAGCCAAGCGTCGCTCGTTGACGTTGTCGTTGTCAGCAGTTAATTGAATTAGTTGTTAATTTATGGCGATGTTTTCACTGGGAATTTCGTTTGTGAATGTGTGTGCGGGCCGGAGTTCTGCAGAGCAGCTCTCTGTGGAGTGGAGGTATGCCAAGGACTTTCCCAGCGAGACTTTCAAGCTGAGGCTCTGGCCCTTGCTCTCTTTTGTGTCACAATGCGGCGCGGAAGCCAGGAGACTTGAGTTGATTAAATGCCTTTCCCGCCACCCAAATTGGCATTTAAGCAACTAGGAACGCGGCCGATGAGATAACCGAAATCCAAGGTGCAAAGGCGAGAGGGAAATCATAAACGTGTCGGTCTTCTTCGGGTGAGAGTAAAACTTTTTATTGTGTTCCCATTTAATTTTAATGTGCAATTTAATTTCGCGTTTCTGTTCGAGGTCTTGTTCACGTTCTCGCACTCGTACTTCTCGGTGGTCGGAAGTTGTGCCCCGGCCCGGCCAGATGCCCGTGGAGCGTTCTGAGTACGCGGCAGTTGAATTTCAACTGAAATCCGCATGCCACACAGCAGAAGCCGGCCCCAACATTGTTGCCAGCGAGCATGTTGCCACTGCCACCCAGTGGCAACCACTGCTACCTAGCCAGAAGGCACTAGCACTAGGCTCAACTGAAAGGAGGAGCAGGAGCTTTTGCAGAGCTTTTCGCTCTGGCGCATTCGCCGCTGGGTGGGTCGCAGTTGTTGCCCGCGACATGTTGCGTTGCGTTTGATTGCTGATTACAGAACGGTCGTAGCTGATAAGCGGCCCGGGACTGGGACTGTTCTTGTGGATTATTGGTCTCCGTTGCTCGTGTTTATGGTTGAACTTGTAGGTTGGCGCCACTCATAAATCTTGAGTTTCATAATACCTCCCCTAATTGCTGCCAACATCTAATTTTAATTCAATTTCAGACTAACAGCGATCCAAATACTTCTTCTGAGCAAATAAAAGGGGGAAATGACTTACGTAAATACTTTTGAATTGGGTTTCATACAGAGTAAAAGCATTCAGCGCACACTTGTTGATAGTCGGGAAGGTTGACCGGTCTTTCTGTTTACATTTTGAATCCTTTTACAAGTTTGGAATGACTTGAAAGCTTAGAAAGCTCATTCTGCCCTGCCCGATAAAAGCCAGATTTTGTGAGCCAACGTTGTGCTCTCATGGATAATGTGAACTAACAGTCGTGGTAACTGTATCAGAACTAACAGTGGCTGTTAGCCACTCTATTAGCCACTGCAAGCTTTATAAGCTTAATATGCATTAAAATACATTATTGCTATTTAAAAATGGAAATAGCTATGTTTTAAATTTGTATTCAGTATACAATATAAACATTAATGATTATATTGAGTTAGTGTACCCCCAAAATCGGTTTCCCGGACCGAACTATACATACATAAGTCGTTGAGGCGTTTAGATAGAGTTTAGCAAAGATTGGAATCAGTTGGTTATGTACACTACTTGATAGATTGTTTCGCATGGTATTTGAACGAGTAAGGAGCAACCTGTATCTGTTGCTTCTTCAGATAATAAATCGCTTGTCTGGTAATAGTCAGTGATAAGTGTTGTCACACACACCTGCCCTGCCCTGTTCTGATAATAGTGCTGCAATTGCCAGTAATTGATAGAGCAAAAGATCCGATGCGAAAAGAAAACGAAAGGACTGGAAACCAACACTGGACTGAGAACTCGAACGTCTTGTTGTTGCCAAATCAGCGCCCTAGACAGTTATCAGTTGATTGCCCGACCGCTAATCCATAGGCAAACAGTTGAATAGCTCAAAGTCTCAAAGCAGAAGCATTTTATTGACAAGACTCAGTAAATTCCATCGCTGCCTGCTTAGGTGACAGTATAGGTAAAGGCAAAGCCCGCCTCCGATTGCCTGTAAACGTCGTCGCTGTTGAAGAGCACCAGCAGGGGCCCAGGATTATTGGCTGAAAGAGATACCGAGACGTTGAATATAAGAAATAGACGGGTAGGCAATTCATCTGAATGCCACTGAATGTCTCGCAAAAGATCTCAAGCTTTAAGCATGAAGTGTTTATGGCAGCTTTGCTATAAAAAAAGCTGCTTGAGTACTCACTTGATATAACCACATCCTTCTGGATAGAGCCGCAGAAGTAGGTGGCGTGCTTGTGGCTATCCTCGAGGGTGGCCTGGGGCACCATGAGGAAGTCGGCATCGAGATCGCTGGTGCTGTCGCTGCTGTAGCAGGAGTTGTCGGTCAGCAAGGTGCTGGCTGACTCCTGAGCCCCAACGTTAAAGTGGTAGGCGCGGATGCTGATGTGGCAAGGAGTTGAGGGTAAAGTAGGAATCGCTTGCAGATTAGTGTTCCTAGATTGCTTACTTGAGTTCGGTGGTAGTTTCGGTGCGACGGAAGCAGATGGCGTAGTTCATGCGGGAGGGATAGATACCGGCGCCCTCGTTGTAATTGAAGGACTTGACGACTCCCTTGGCCTGGGGGAAGTACTGCAGGCAGCCGGGTGGGGCCACAAAGAAGCCATCCTTGATGGTGCTTGCCCTAGTCTCGACCTCCAGATCGCGGACCGAGGCTCCTGCGGGACACTCTAGCTGCTGGACAGTCATGTCCCAGTAGGGCGTTGGCAGGCCAGTGGAGCCGGCGCGATTTGCCAAAACAACTGTTAGATCCACGACGGACTCTCCATCGGTGGCGTTGAAGGGTACATAGATGTGCTGCCAGACTTCGGATCCGCACAGCTTCAAACCGTTTACCTCGAAGTAGTCGTTGGTGCACTCGGCATAGGTCAGGCCCGTGCTCTGCTGCGTCTCCAGCGTGGGCTGGGCCAGAGTCATGGCGAAATCGATGCGCAGCTGGCAAACGTACTTGCTGTAGGCCTTGATCTGGTACTCGCACTCTCGCGGCGGGTAGGTCGGATTCACCAGGTTGATGTTCTTCGAGGAGGTGGTTCCGCCACAGACTGGCGTCGCCACAGAGGCGGCCTGCGCGGCAGCCACAGCCACGAGCAGGAGGAAGGTGCTTGCAATGTAGTCGTTCATTGTTCTGGAACTCCTGAGTTATCGCTGCACGGGCGCTTTTATGGAACCCCCTCAGCTGCGATTCGCCAACTATCGCTGATAGTCGCACAGCTAATTAGCAATGTTTCAGTGTCGCCAAACACGATCGATAAGGTTTATCGCGGCCCAAGGGGCACCTGCTGTTTGTCAAGAGAGAAGCAATTTTCCCAAACATTTAACTCCCTAATTTCTTTCTACTATAAATAAACGATCAAAATACCGGTATAGAGGTGTTCGATAAAGCTGCATGCCAGAGCAGTAAAAAGCTTGCCCAAACAAGCTTGTACCGGGTATATTTTTATTACTGATTCGAAGAATCTCCCTCTTGGAGTTTCAATCATTAATTTGTGTCCTTAGTTGGTTCAAAAAGAGACACAAGAGCGAAAGCATCGAAAATTGTACTTTTTTTATTTATATTAATGGAAAACTCCGCTGTCGATACGCCTATAAGTTGAAATATAAGCAATCAATGTCGATTGGTACACTCTCATCTATTTATATTCCCTGCTCAAAATTCCATTTTTTTTACCGATGATCCTCAAAAGATATCCCACTACGTGCCTTTTTTGTAAAATAATCAACATCACCGACCGAAATTTTAAATTAGACTGTTTCTGGTAGTAAAAAACCTTTTTGTTTCGGAATTGAAGATTTAGCTGCCATTTCCAGCTTTTATTGTGCAATTCTGCCTGTAACAGACAGGTATTTTGTAATTTCATTCACAAAGCATTTATCTTCGAGAATGATGTGTCTGCGTAGCACGTTTTCATTTTTTGACATCATCAGCAATGATTGCTCATCATCGTTGGTCGCACTATCATCACCATCTTCATTCGGTGTGATGACACTCGATAATGAGATACCCATGGTGAGAACTGAATAGTGTGTATGTGTATACATTCTCCTACTCGAACACGGATAGTACAGACAGAGGGGAGAGTGGGCAAACATAACCCAGTTTCAGCGGATCGAAGATCACAATAATGAACATTTCGTTTAGGTTCAATGACTGGGCTGGGCAAACAAGTTAATAGAAGCAACTAGCGTGCTTTTGAATATTCATGGGGCGCTGAGAGAGTGCTGGTACTGGTACTGGTACTGGGAACTTCTTACTTCTTACCAAATATTGACACGGCTGGCTTCTAACACGAAAATCTCATCACCGCATCGGTGTTGCCAGAGGCGTTCCCTCTTCCATGGCTGCTTCTGCTGCTGCTGCTGCTATTGCTGCTGCCCCCGCCATCCGACGTATAAAAGCAGCCCACGGACCGGGAGACTCTCACAGTTGATGTGAAAGTATAGCCGGGAAAAGAACAAAGCCAAAAATTATATTATGATTGTAACTTCGCTGCTACTCGTGTGGTGCATGACATACGCGCATGCGGAGACCTTGACCGACTTAACTGAAACGAATGCTACGGTTACGGGAGTCGTTGAGCCCGCTGGGATGTGGCGTCAGGCCAGAAGACGCAGCACTCTGGAGGATACTTGCATCACCACCAGCGGCATTACGGGCACCTGCCTCTCCCGTTTCAAGTGTATGCGGCAATCGGGCACCGTCAATGGCTACTGCGGCACCTACGGAGTCTGCTGTGAAAGTGAGATTATTCGCCGGAAACCCGTGTACTCCAATGAAGGCTAACTCTCCCTTTCCCCTCTTCTGCTCTTCACACCAGCCAACATGCAGAGTGGATCGAGCACGCGTCAGAAGCGAACCATCATCAAGAACCCCGCAGCACTGACCGGCGATCTCAGCACCTACACCATCGAGGCGTTCAGCGTTAACGTCCAGCAGCTGCGCATCGACTTTGAGCAGTTCGAGCTGCAGCAGCCCATCCTGACGGACTCGATGCTGGAGTGTCAGGACTACTTCGAAGCTGGTGGCTTTAAGCTGTGCGGCGTCAACACGGGCCAGCACATCTATCTACCTTTTAATGTGGCCGCCGGGATCGAGCAGGTGACCCTTACCTTTGCGGTACCCACACGCTGGACGGGCACCAATTGGCGTCTGATTGTGACCCAGCTGGAGGGTCCTGCGGCCAGCACCAAGCGCCGCTCTAGTGCAGCGAGCTCCTTCGCCGGAAGCACCAACACGCTACAGGATCTGCGCAGCATCTTCGCCTCGCACCACGCGGACTACGAGCTGCTGGCTCCGGCAGGCTGTCAGCAGTACTACACGGAGCTGACGGGCACTATTCGCAGCTTTAACTACCAAGCGATGATTGGCAGCAACTATATGCCCGATCTGAACTATAATATCTGCATCAAGTCGGTGGCCAGTGCCAGCATGATTGAGTTAGTGCAGTGGAGAAGAAGGGGGAAATCTTGAGGGTGAAGCATTGATGAATTTTCTAATATTCGTAGATACGCCTTCAGCAAATTCTCGACGGCGATGCAGATTGGAGATACGGAGGGCTACGACGAGTTCTGCCGGGCCACCGTCCACACGACGGGCAGACAGGAGGACTACCTCATGATACCGCAGGGCATTCTAGCCAAGAACACCGCCTATCAGCCCACCTACTACTGCGGCACCAATGACAACCTCTTGGTCTATGGTAAGTGAACGGTGGAGAGGGAGAGAGTAATCCTTGAACCGCTCTGATATTGAGTTACCTCTTCACAGCCTCGCCGCCCTACCTCATGCACTTCTCCAGCGACGAGATGACTCTGGACGAGGCCGTGGAGACGGGCTTCAGCCTGACGTATCGCCTCAGGACCTCAATCCTGTAGTCCTGCAGTCCGGTAGTCGGTTGACTGGCAGTTTGTTTTAAGTGGCCATTTAAATAGGTTTTGATAGTTTTTGTATCAGGCTATCCTAGAATTTAATAAACTAGATTCGAATGTCTTTAAGTGAAGTGAGAGCTAAAGCTCTTTCCATTGGTGTTCCGCAATCGGTTAACGAGCTTGTCAGAGTTCAAACGAGGGGATTATGACGGGAGGCTGGGGGGTAACATATGTACATGTGTATCAAAGATACGCAAAAAGTTCGAGAAACGCATTAAGGAGCTCGTGTGCGGTCAGCGACACGATTATCCTTTTAGTTGCGTAATTAGTGTGATTAAAGCCGAGCAGAGAAGCGAAGTGAAGCGCGGTCCGTTGGGGGGAAAGAGCGTGAAGGCTCCTCCGCGCCTCAGTCGTTGCCACACGCAACAGCACCCCCCATAATGGAGATGAGCGACAAACAAATACAAATGTATAAAATGCACCATTGGCAGCATTGAGCTGTTAGCATCGAACCTCTCTCCCCCAGCTACCTTTCACTTTGACAAGGTGCTAGATTTTCTAATACGCTAATTGTTAGCCGCGCATTCCGGCCGCGATCTGGCCGCTGCCCCATTGCTAGCTCAGCTCTGAGAACATCTCACCCCCGCACTGAGTCTCATGCCCTCATATGTGGCGTGGCACCCACTCCAGTCTCGGGAGTGGTGTAAATTGTAAAATAAGCCAATCGGGCACAGGCCCAATCCCAACGGTCAATATTGATGATTGGCTTGGGGGTCTCTTTATGGCTGGATTAGCGTGTTCGCACCTGCTGTGGACAGCCCTAAAAAGCGGGGGCCTACGCAAACACTCCCTGAACAGAGCGAATGGCAACTCAGAGGCTCCCCTCGAAGCCCCCTCTCGATGGCAATCATTAATGGTTGCCAAAATGGAATAAAGGTAACTGAATAAATGGAAATAGTCGAGCGATACGTGTATTTATGAGCAAGCGACTTGTTCCATGGCCACTGAATCTTGATAACTATTATTTGGATTTGTATGACAGTACCCTGTTACCCTGTAGCCATGCCATGGTTGACTACGAGACAATTTGTATTATTTTTTTTAATTTTAGTTTTTTAATGTTTCTATTCCCTAGATGAGAGCATAATCTCATACGAGTTAGGTATTAAAATGTACGGACGCAATCTTCTCCTCACATACAAGCAGCCGAAGGGTATCAGACTGTCGTTTCTTTTGTCTCGCTCGTTTTCGTTTTTCGTTTCTCGTTTTTTCTTTATTTTTTTCTGGGGGCAAACAACAAGCAATAAAGCAAAGTTCCATTGGAATGGCCTGCAAGGGTTTCCGCAGGTACAAAACAGCTAAATGTTGCACATAAATTAACGGAAAACTAAACTGCAAGCGAGGGAGGTGTGGCGGTGTGGAGAGTGTAAAGGAGAAGAAGTCGTGGCTAAGGCTAAATGCCGTGAGTGGCAAAAGATCGACGACAGGCAGCAGAAGGCAGCAGACAACGGCAACAGAAAAGGCGACGCGTCGCAGCTGCAGTGAAAATAACGAAAATGCATTTTAAAACCCAAAAAGCAAACGAGCTAACGAAAAGGGGAAAGGCGAGAGGCGAGAGGCAGTACAAGAGAGGACCAGGAGCAGCATAACGTTGTCCTGCTTGGCAGTGTTCCACAGGACCAGGACCAGGACTGGCCACTCGCCGGACTGGTCATGGGACCACGGCCACCCTTTCGTTTTCCCCGTCTCCGGTTCTGTGTATTTAAGTAATGATTTTGCAAAATATGCGCAAAAGTGCCAACACCAACGCCCGGCAATATGGTGCCCTAAATGGACTGTAACCGGAAGTGCGAATAGCGTGCAGCTGGGACAAGCAGTTGACCAAGATAAGATGTTCGTTGCCTGGCGAGGAGGGGCGCGAGTCGGGGTCGGGTCTTTCTCTAAAGTCGGTCTTAAAGTGTTTAATGGACTTAAGCGACAATTTTGATGGCTAATCAGCGGAAAGGGAAAACTCTGCTACCCAAAAGTTCACGCCAATTTGTCATGGTCTCACACAGATACTCGTACAAATACAGATACACAGTCGGACACATGAATGGAGATACTGATTCGGACTTGCCATTAAGTCTGCAAAATATATCCAAAAGTGGATCAGGGCTGACAACGAGGCCTGCCTGCAATTTTTGGCACGCGGAAGTGGATATGGACTTTGTAACGGACCATGTATCCCACCTCTCTTTCTGCACCTCTTCCATTGCTTCTTTCTCGCTCTGTTTGCCACGTTCCCCTGTGCGTTTCGACTGTTGCCTTATCAACACATTGTCGGCAACATGCAAGCAGGCAGAGAGGCAGGCAGGCAGGCAGATGGAATGAAACGAAAATATTGAAGCTGTCCTTTGTGGCGGTCGCCTTTTATCGAACACCCCATGCTCCGATGCCCCACTGATGGGGCCTTCATCCTCATAACACATAACATTTCTAAAGACAAAAACTGTAAAATCGAAATACAATTGCCATTCATAGAGAGAGAGAGAGAGAGAGAGAGAGAGAGAGAAAGAGAGATACACAGCAAAAGAGACTGCGACAGAGATATAGACATAGAGTGCAGACTCCGTTCACGTGTGTCCTGGGTTACGTATTTTCGTTGATTTTCATGGCATATTTTACACTGCATGCAAATACACACAAACACACACACACATTTGTATACATGTATATGTTTGCATGTATATGAGTGGGTGTATTGGCAGAGCAGCAAGAAATAAAATTGAAATGAAATATGCAAACACGAAAAATATGCGCCAGCCGAAAATATGCTACGAAAAAATTGCCCAGCACAGACACACACGCTCAAACAAATTGTGCAGCAGCAGGCACACACCTACAGTCACACACAAATGCACGGATACTCTGCAGAGTTGCACTGGCCGTTCGGCTGCGATTTATTGCATTATCAATAAAGTGAATAAATTTTGAGGTTATTGTGGCGTGATAACGGCAATTTTTTCCTCCTTCTTTTGTTTCTCCCACACGTACACATTTACACGAATATATGTATGCCCCGGTATTGGCCTGGAATGGTAATACTGTGTAAATGGCGCTGTTAATTTCAAAATCACACCCACACATATCTCCAACGCCCTAGACAACAATTAACTGATTAAATGCTCAATTCGGCTTAATTCAGTCACCCCCCCTCCAAGCTCTTCCCCCCCCTCAAAAGATTTAGCTCGTTTCGAACCGGAAATATAATCTCTTATCTGCCTGCCTGACAGAAGTAAAAGCGTTAACTAAAAACTTTTGTCCCGATATTATTTTCTAAATTAAATGAAACTCAGCTAATTTTACCAATTGGCATATCATTTCATTAACTTAACTTTCATTAACTGAAATCTTATTAAAATTAGCTAAAGTTAACTTTTGCGGTATGTTTTGCTATTTTTATAGGTTTGTTTTTCTTTATTCTTTTCTTTCATTCTTGTAAAATGTTTTCCTCAAATCTCTAAAAATAGCCTGTTGAGCTATTTATCTATGAAATATGAAGTGATTTATGGGAAAATGTGAGGTGATAAGGCAAAACAAAAAACGTATATAAACAGCGACCAGTACTTAATTCTATTACAAAAAAATAAACCAATAGAGATAATTCAGTGTGTAAATACTCGATAGAAACATACATTAGCCCTCTTTCAAAATAAATGAAACGCTTTAGAATATTCTGTTCCGTTGCGCAGATCTTTGCATTTGAATTTTGCTAGATTAAGCCAAAGTCGACTTCTATTTCGCGACCACATGTTTATTTCTATCTTTATGAAAACTAAGACTCGATGTTTTTAAAAACTACACTGTCTTTTGTTGTAAAAAAATACTAGCGAATCGCATAAACTCGCATAAAGCTGGGGAAAATTTTAGTTTTCTATCTGCCTATATTTACCTATGTGTATATATTTATTTACATTTACCTATATATATACATACATTATGTACATATATATTCTTCGCTTTCAATTTTGTGCACAGCCGAAAGGTATGCAGTCAATCAGTACATCATCTGCTGTCTACATAGGGATTACTCTTTTTGGGCGAGAGAATGAGGAAGATGTTACTGTATCTACGGGAATGGGCATTTTTTGAACCGTCAAATTCCCCATGAATAGAAAGTGTAATATTGAGCATCGTCATACTTTATATGTCCGTATATGTACATATGGATGTTACCGTATTTAATTAGTCAGAATAAGCTAAAACCTGCAAGGTAGATTTACTTCAATAATATTTACCCCGCCTAACCATAAAACGACTTTAACTCTTAAATTTCTCTTTTCTCTGCCGAAGTTGTGTCTAATTAGCAGAACTAAGCGGTTGATTAGTGGTAAACACTGTTTCGGTACGAGTATTTGGCTAGAGTCACGCTGATGGATTTTGCTTTTATTTTAGGTCAATAAGTTCCCTCGCGTTCCCAAGTCAACGGCTTGCGCTTGGATGACAGAACCAGCAGACGCTGGGTCTCGAACGAGTGGGGGTTGGGACATCCCCATCGCAGACATCACACCTCCGATTGGTCAGCTAATTCCTGCGAAAATGCAAATCAAAATCCAAGTCCAAGTCTAAAACCAACTCCAAATCCGTGTGCAAATAGAGCTGGGCGTCACGGTAACTGTTTGAACTATGAAATTCTCGCCGTTTGTATTTATGGAAATTTTGGAAATTATGCAAAACGTTGCCAGCTAACCCACACCTACACCTACGCACATGCACAAACACTCACACCCACTCAAACAAAATCTCCCACACATAAATGTACGTCGTGTGCATGTATATTCTAACACCTACTGTAATGTGTGCTGATGTGTATGTTAGTCGATTGTTTGCTTCTGCCGTACACTCGTACTCGCACTCGCACTCGCACTCGCACTCGCACTCGTATGAGTTATGTACGAGTATAATATGTTAATCGCTACCGTTTGCATGTTTGCATATTGAACAATTACCGTTATGGTTATGTGTGCGTGCCGGCCACTGTTGTAGCTGCATGTGTGCTTATCCATGGTCAATACAGCCAGTGTTGATCAATGCTAAAAATGGAAGATGGAACCCATCAAACTGTCATCAGATCAAATGTCAA